GTCGCATATGCCTGGCGGTGCCACGCATGTCAGATACATGTCAATTACATGCATCAACCTCCGGAACACTTATACCCTTCGGCCACATCATGACCATTCGAGACATGAGGAATGGACGTCATCAATCTTATTTTCCCTCCATCAGCCAAAGGCGACCGCTTTATTTTGACAATTACCGACTACTTCTCTAAGTGGGCCAAGGCAATTTCACTCAAAGAAGTAAAGACGAGCGACGTCGTCAGATTCATCAAACACCATATTATCTACCGATACAAAGTTCCAAAGCGAATCATGCATGACAACAGCTCTCAGTTTGTCAGACACGCCTTCATCAAATTGTGTAGAAAGTTCAGAATTCAAGACGTCTCATCGACGGCCTACAATCCTACCGCCAAGTTGCTGACGAGGAATCGGAGGGAGAAATCTACGGCCTTCGTCATACTCATTCAGCCACTGTTCCGGGCCACAATTCAGGATGCTTGGATCCTCAACTGAGTTGCCAAACATGAAGTCGAGTTTCCTCAATGGCTCAGTTGTGGTTGAACCTCTCGTGAGAGGTGCATCAGTTATCAAACGTCAAATGGTGCGACGATCTCCCTCCTTAATAAGCCCGGGAATTTCTGCAGGCCCACCTCTATTGAATTGAGAGGGCCCGTCGACAATGGTCGTTTCGTCGAAAGAGGCGTAGGAGACGCCACTTCGACCACTCACTGCACGGGGTGAACTCCGTCGACGGAAAATCGACTACGACGAGTAAAAGCGAATTTATTAAACGCAGCTAAAATAAATTTTCTAAGGCAAAACAAGGAGTCGAACTCATCTCGCGAATTCATGAGATAGAGGCACTGTCTTGTAATTCGCGAGACGATTTCAAATGTTTCGCATTCGAGGGAGAATGTACATTGTCGTTTAAACAACGCGATAATATACCCTGCCTTACGGATAGCGAGTCTCAGCGTAAAATCGCATCTTTTGCCTTGAGACGTGATTTGACCAAGCAAAACACGTCTTTTAAGCCTCGACCCCCCAAAGAAGGATATCGACTCTTCCCGAATGCCCCGCGAAGGAGAGCAAACGAAGGTACATATGCAAAATCCTAACTTTGAATCAACAAAGGTGATAAAAGCTCACCTCCATACGATGAAGCTGTGGGAGCCTCTCTCTCGGGTGCATGAGAAGCTGATTTACCCCTCTGAATGCTCGACCTCTTAGGAGACATGGTAAAAGATTATACCTTGATCGAAAATCCTACAAAAAAAGTAGGATTTTGGGTTAAAATTCAAACAAAAGATGCAAAAGTCATCACCAAGTATCCAAAGACTCGGTTCTTACCAAGGGACAAGAGGGATCAAAGGTGCGGTGAACTAAGACAAAGGCTCGAACCCGAGAACAATTGCTAAAATCCTACAAAAAGGTTAGGGTTTCATGATGAAATCTTATGCAAAACAACCCAAAAATCATAACGAAGCACCCCCAAGCTCGGTTTTCTACAAGAATCAAGAAAAAATCAAGTCTTTATCAAGAAAAACACAAGCGAAGAGATTTTACCTCAAAGAACGGCTAGGGTTTAAAGAGGAATCACAAAGGGAACTTAAGAATCCTCAAAAAACTCAAGGAATATCTTCGGTTACTGCCAAAGACAAGAGAAGAGCAAGGGGTGAACACAATTAACAAAGGAAAAGGGGATTAAAATTCGAAACCTAATCAAGAACTCAAAACCCTAAGGTAAAACTTACCCATTTTGACCGAAAATCAAGAGGGAAGAGATTGGAGGACTCATTTATAAGATTTTTGGGGAGTTTTCGAAAGAGGAAACGCGGGAGGTTAGAGGAAAAATGCCAAGAATCCGGAAACTTAAACCCCCTGTGAACCGACTCAGCCGACCGCCTCACCGAGACACATTAGTGTCTCGCACACGTGCGAGGCACACGGGCCTGTCTCGCACATAGGATGGGTCCCGCGGGTATTTTCACACGTGTTTTTGCCCATTTTTGCCTATTTTCGATGAGATTGAGGTACGTATCTACACTCCGATGAGTATACAAGTATAAACTGCATCTCCTTGAACCTCCGACGGGTATATGAGGTTAAACTGATCCCCAAAACTCCAATGAGTATATGAGTATAAACTATTTCTTCCCGCTCCAACGCCTTAAGAGTTTAAACTGTGTAGACTCCGGTTACGTACGAGTATAAACTGTTTACGCTACAGCGGAGGTCAACACCGGTCAATAATTCGACAATTTCACCAAAATCAGGCTTAGGATAATTCTATTACCCCCAGGAGTTCAACCGCTAATCAGATGTGAATTTCTGACGAAGATGATCAGTTCAGCGTCGACTCAACGACGCGAGCTAGTTCAGATATTAACGCATCAGTTTCAGTTTCAGATTTTGACGATGATCAAGCGATAAACACAACACCAAAAGTATTTCAGGTTATTCGACAAAATACTGAGTAGACTGAAAGCCGAAGAAGTCAAAGAACAGAAGCCATTCACGGGTCCAGTTCACACAATCTCCTCGATAAAATGTTAAAGAGATTGAAAGCATGACCTATCTTATCCGAAATATTCCGGACTCCTCGATAAACTACTGACTGAAAACTTTAGAGGGGGTATCTATAGGCGTCAAAAATTACCTATAATGTCTTGAACACAGCTCAAGACGAAGAGAAGATGAAGAACGTCATTATCTGAGTCCGAAAAAATTATCTGATGCTAAAAAGAAGCAAAGGAACGTGCAAAACGATGAAACGATGGAACGAAAAACGGTGAAACTGTCTCACAATCAGTGAGACAGTCTAAAGTGTCTCGAAACCCGAGACACATTTACCAAGACAACAATGTGTCTCGCGCACAGTGAAGCTCCACGACGTGTTTTCTAATGGTTTTCTCAGTTTTCGTGCGGTCCACTAGCTCCATAACTGCCTTGGGAACATCCTTAAACACGAGAAAGTCGTTATAAACTGAAAATCCACCAGATCGACGGTCGGTTACGAAATCTTATCTACAAACACGGCATCTGAGTCTTATAAATACCCCCTACACACATTTGTGAAAGGTACTGACGAATTAGCGAAGTGCTGATAGTTTGAGAGCAGAAACCCACGAATTTCAGAGAGGGGCGGAGATCTTGGCGAATGTAGTGCATAAAGAGAAAGTTTTCGAGAGATCCAAGGGCCTTTGGCGTTCCCTCGATATTCAAACCTTGATTTGATATCGGGAAGAGTATTTATCACACCTTGCTGAGATATCTATTTCTGTTCTTTTTTCGAAAACAAAATAAGAACATCGAGCCTTCTTTACGATCAATCCAGATCTGTGAATCCGTGGTCCACGGACTATTGCGTCCCCGACACATGCAAAAATCTCATGCAAACAGCGATTGATAAACAATCTCTACGTGTGTTTCTAGGAAATCCTCTTTTTGTTTCTTTTGTAAAGAGAAGTCTTATAAAAAAAGGCTCTCTTGTGATTTCGTTGTATCGATAAACGATTGTAATGGATTCTGCAAAGAAATCGATTTCCGACGCAAACACGGTTAAGCTTGTGTTTATTGTTCCCGTATCAACGGTGACTATGGAATGAGCACTCTCAATCATGAAGATAATGAAGACTCGGAACAAGATGGAAGATGAATTCTTGAATAATTCCTTGCTTTTGTACACAGAAAAAGAAATTTAGCACAAGCGCAATTATAGGCAAGTTTAATTCAGTGAAAAAATGTCGAGCACAACTTTGTTAGTTTGTTGTCTAAAGAATATCATGAATTTGGTAACATGAGAATTGTGGTGCAACCTCTATTATCTTTATGCTCAAATAAGAATGTATAATGCATCAATTTAGCATAAGTACTTTATAGCTTTTGGTTAAATATGAAATGAATATGATATAGTGTTATTGTTGAATGAATGTTAATAAAATACATGTGAACTATATGTTGGTTTTATGTATAATATTTTGTCATGTTCTTTATAGTTAAGAAGAAACTTTAGAAGATTGGAGCAAGTTAATCCAATGATTGGTGGATATATTTTCGCAGCACATGTATTCTAGGTTTTTTACTTCCACTTACTTCTTACATATATGGAAGTTTATTACGCATTATAATATTTGGTTGTTTTTTATTTATTTATTCTACAATGAATAGCTTTATGTTGCCCCCCCCCCCCCTCCCCAACAAAAAAAAAGGAAAAAGAAAAATTCCTTGCCACTCAACCCAACAACCCAGCCCCAAGCATGGCTAGGCTAGATCAAATCTTCCTAGGCTCTGGGCCACATGCCATCTTAAGACACCCATTAACTCCAGGAGGGTTCATATCCTTCTTTTAGGAAAAAAAATTGTGTTCCTCAATGCATGAGAAAGGATTTGAACCTTATCGCCCATATAGTTTCATCATCATGACGCTAAATTTACTTATGGCCTTATGTATATTTCTAGAAAGCAGGTGAATAGATTAAAAAGCTTAACTTTACAAAGTGTGATAGCTGCAACAATAGTGTAGGGGCTTAATATGTCAAAGCCTAGAAACCCTAGCACTGGAGTTTATCTTTGTGCCAATATTTACGGCCCTAAAAATCTCAACAATCTTAGGTCCTACTCAGCGCCACCCATTAAGCTCAGGTAACACGTTGCAGTTTTCCATAAGCAACAGTAGGATAAATGCTAGAAAAATCAGTTACTAACTACTTCCAAGTTCCAAACACAGATAACAGCTGCCAGTTTAATGGATACAAGATGGTGTTAATGCAGTTTAGTTATATAATGTTCAGTTGTTACCTGTTGTAATTGGAAATTCATCAAAGAAATAACAAGAAAAGACTTATTCCCTATATTCAGAACCTTTAGGTCTAACACAAGTAGCATTCAGGCCAACTCCAGCTTTTCACTAGAGCAGTGAGACTTAGTGACTTCTTAATAAAGATATAGAAAACTCATAAAGATGAAATTAGAGCTAAAAACTTAAAACCAATGCTCATGAAGAAGAGAGAACATACTTTCAATCAGGGGGCCACTGTCTTCATTGTCATATATAATAGCAGCTTTGAATCCAGCATTTTCAGCACTTCTAACTTTGTCATCAAATGAGCACCTTCCTCTAATAATTAAGGCGAATGAAGATTTTGAACCTCCAGCCACTTTGTTCGTTAAGGGAGAGCATGCATCGATAGGATCAGCTATCCACAAGACCCCGCATTTACCGGACCCTTTTATTTTAGGAGCTGGGAGAAACAAAAAATATAAATTTTATGACTTGAACATATGATAACATTTAGCATATGAAATGAACTCAGAGGCAAGAAGAAATATTTCAGCAGCCATAAATTTATTCCCTCATAAGTGCAAGGCTAAATAAGGGAATTAACAGAAAAGGAATGTTTTTGAAATATTAGAAAGGTACATAACACAAATATGAGAAAGTAAAACTGTACCAATATCATATTAGCGTTCCTTTTAACCCAACTTTATGGATATTCCGGGAAGCCTAGGAAGATGACTTTAGAGAACACATAGTAACAAAACTCTAGATATCATCTTAGTCCGCATTTTAACTTGGTGGATAAAAAACTGCATCTGTAAGTCCTGTATAGATAGCCAACCCTCGTATAGAAATAATACAGCCAACCAGGAAAAATAGTTGGTGTACATTCTAAAGAAGAAAGTTCAAATAGTAAAACTATAGATGTTATCGCATGGTGACTAATAAATTCTATTTAACGAATATCAAAATATTCTAAACCCTTCGAACCCTTCTACTGAAACTCACAAGAAATAAAACAAATAATTTCAATTAATTCTTTTAGTAATTTTTTTAAAGATCTCATGAACATCAAATCAAGAATTCAATCTTTCCGAGAAAATATGTTATGTGGAGGGACAAAGCCAAATCTAGCTAACTCAATAAATAAACATGAGTATAAAGTAAGTATACTTGTGTGTAAAAATAGAACTATTAGTATAATTAATTTTAAAACTATGAGCATTGTTCAATATCTTATCCTTAAACACAATCATGCTTTACAAGGCATCTACTTATACACACAAAAAGAGAGAGAATGACTTGGCTACTTCCAAAAGGAGTTAAAGCCAAACTGTTCCATTAAGATTTAATGTTTGACTATGAAAGATCCATTCTCATAAAATTCATTTACATTATCTAGATTACCTATAAACTAAAAATAGTGTTCTTTAAAGTCCTTTCGCCCAGACATCAATAGGGCTCAACTAAACAGTCTAAGTAGGTTCTCAGTTAGTTTAATGATGTAAATAGATACCTAATAAGAAAATTGTACATAAGATTTTAGCTAGCTAGATCAAGATGAGATGATTGGATCAAAATTTTCTATGCTGTAGAGCGTCAATCAACTGAAAATATTATGGTCATGTCCACTTTATGCTAGCTTGATCCATAAACAAATAAGTTGAAATGCTTGATTTTTCGTTTTCTAGTTACTTAAATTGTACTTAAATTGCATAAATCAACTTCCAGCGAATGGTTGTAAAAAATACCCCAAAGTTGAATCCGAATATGAAAGTGTTGCAGCTAAATCATCCATTCACTCTAATTAAGTACACACATATATAAGATGTCTTCCGGAAACATTTCCTCATCCACATCGAACTCTATAGATGGCTCATTTAGGGAATTTCCCATGAAAATGACAGAATAACGTGAGTTTGGTTTATAATCCACCAATCTCACCAAGTAAACAATCGGTAATAAAAAAGGGTCAATAGTATACACACCAGTCATAGAACACCAGGACTACAACATGTTTGGCAAGTGGTCCAAGTGGCTTATAAGCCACAAAAATGAAATACAAGACACTCTGAGATGTTTGGAAAATGGCTTATTTTGGTTTATAATCCACCAAAAAATAAGTCGGGGTAAAATTTTTGGTGGATTATAAAGCACAAGGTTTGACCGTGTCCCCCTCATCATTTCACAAAATTCCACGCCTCAATCTTTCTCCACCCTACTAAACTTAAACTTAGAGCCATAATCTTTTTGGTCATTTTGACAATAACGGTGGATTATAATCCACCCATTTGCTAAACACTATACTATTGAATATATATTATAATCCACTAATTTTATCAAACACTCCGGAATATAATCCACTTGGATTAAAATCCATTCGTGGATTAAAATCTAATAGTCCCAAACATCCCTGTTTGGATGGAGGGTAGAGAGGGGGAGGTGAAGAGAAATCTAATTTTAACCTTGTTTGGGAGTTCTATTTAGGAGGGTAGAGGAGGGGAATGGGAGGGATTTTTGAGCCAAAATCTTACACTCCAAATTGGGGTGTAATGAAAGGGAAGGGGAGGAAGGGGAACTTTTCCCCTTCCTTCTCTTCCCTTAAGTCATCTCCCAAACCCACTGTTCTTAAGCTAGATATTCAATCAACAAAAATTCTTTAGAATAGAAGACCATTAAGTATAATTTATGAATATCATATCGCACGGCCACGCCATCATTTTCAAATATATTAGAATAAGTGATACAAACATCATAAGCATCTAGGTACCATATATCCATACCATTAATAAATGCAAAATTAACAAAATCCTCTCATAAAAATGATAAAAATAGGGGGAAGCTCTTACTGAAGTTAGCTTCCATGTCATTGAAAGACTCCGAAATATTCTTCCCCAGTATAACAACGTTTCCATTCACAACCCTCACCATCACCAGATGAATAAGTAGAGCAAAAGCTCTAATTAATAAAGTCATCCCTTTAGCAAGCAACCAAGATTCAAACTTTTTCTCAGCCCGCAGAGAGTACCAAAGCCTGCTCCTTAGTTTTCACTCCCAAAACCCTAAATACCTGTGAGCTTCACACATCTCTTCAAACAAACCCCCAATCTTTTACTGAAAGAAGCAATCTTTCCATAAATAGATTGCTGGGAGCCATGTAACTCACCTGAAGTTGACAGAAAATGTGGAGAATTTGAAGACGTCGACATCAATTCCCATCAAAATTTAAGGATAGAAAGGAGAGGAACAGCGAGGGTTTAATAGAGAGAGAGAGAGAGAGTAGAAAATTGAGGACTTCGAACGTATCTGTGGGCGTATATCCCTCAGCAACGCGTCCTCAGCCGCTTGCGACTTAGAACGAGGATTTTTTAGATACTAGTCCCTTAAATCATGTCATTTTGTATTAGTTCTCATATCATCATATATATTTTGATACTAATCTCCTGAATTATCTTAGAGAATGTTTGGCAAGTTACTTATTTTTATTTATTAGTATGTTTTTACGTGCAATGTTTGAAACCACGTTTGATAAATCTTTATTTACTTAATTCTTCCTTAGAATTTTCGAAAAAAAAAAGTAAGTTGGTATTTTTCAACTTATTTTTTAGACACGTATAAGTAAGTTTCTAATTTACCCTATAATAAAATAAGTAACAATAAATAATAAGTAACCTGTAAAGTTTCATAAAATAAATATTAGCCAAACATATTCTTAATATATTGATATTAGTCCTTCCATTATTATTGTTCAAAATACAAATTCATGACTAGATCAATACTAACTATAGATGGAAATAGATAATTGTCTTTAAATTATAATATATTTTTATTTTTAATTACTTGGTTCTTGGAATTTTATATTTCAATTAATATTATTTAATATTACTCTCATTTTGAATATTTAAAAAATAAAAAAATAAAAGTTATATAATATAAATAATATTTTTAATAATATTATTAAATGTATTAATATAAAATAGGCAATCTGATTAAATTAAACAGACATTCATATTACTAAATCCACGACTATTACATAGAAAGCAAAAACATGAATTGAAAATTACATGACAAATAGGAAAAACATAATACATGAAAATACTAAAAGTCTGGAAAGTCAACTCCTCCGTATCCACCTCCTCTGTAGTCAGGTATTCCGTATTGACTTCCTGCGTAACTGTATTCAGGATTAGGAATATCAGATGAGGAACCCCTAGTTATATTTCTATTTAAAATCTGTTGTTGTTTATTTCGAAAATATTCGCGTTTTGTTGGATCGGTAATAGCTTCCAGATCAACTAGCATAATTTCTTTCTCTTGTCGATCTTGCTGAAGTTCTAACTTTTTCTTATCATTTTCAGCCTTTAACATCATAGCCTGGTTCATTGTCAATCTTTCATTTTCTCGTTGTTCTTTACCTTTTTTTAAAACTTCTAAGATTTCTTGATTTCCTTCAGCAAAATCTTCAAAGTCAATGTTCCTTTCAATTTCTTTCCGTCTTCTCAACTTCTCTTTCTTCCTTCCAATTGGTCGACTAGTTGAAATGCTCATTGGCGAATAGTCGTCGTCATTAGTGGTATATGCCTGATTGTCTTCATTTAAGTCAATGACAGGAGAGCTTGAATCAGATCCTTGAGATAAGCGAGACATTGAAGTTTTGGAAGATGCAGAAGGCATGACGCTTATATTTGCCCACTTCACTGCATCCTTCAAAATCGGCCAAACACGATCAAATAAAAAATAATTATTAGAAAGGTGGAAAATAATTTAATAACCAAGAAACATGTAATTCATATACTTACAATATCAAGTTCAGAAGCACCGCTTGGATTGAGGCGCTCGACTTGTCGAATGCATCCTCGAAATTTACTGATGGCTTTCATAATTAATTGCATTCGGCATGAGAGAGACTTCGGGCTCCTATGTCCGGTGTAAACGTTGGAAATCCTTTCGTGAAATAGAGCTGAAATTCGCTCTCATAGCTTGTCTTTCTTTTGATTGGAACCTAAAACTAGATCCTGAGATATTTCAAGCCATGTAGAGCATAAAATTTGATCTTCTTCTTGTAAGAATGATTTTCCGTGACTGGATGCCATAAGAGAAGGACGAAGAGTTGTTGAGAAGAGCTATGGAGGAGGAATGAGAAGAGTTGTGATGAAGGAATGAGGGTTGTGCTAGTATTTATAGTGAAAAAATTATGGAGAATTCAATGCTAGTGGGAGAAAGGAATGTGGGTAGAAAACGATGTTGGTAGGAGAATCCAATGTGGGTAGAAAACAATACGAGAAAGAATCCAATGTGGGTATAAAACCAATGCTAGTGGGAGGATCCAATGTGGGAAGAAAACCAATGCTAGTGGGAGGATCCAATTTGGGTAGAAAACGATGCGGGTGGAAGAATCCAATGTGGGTAGAAAACGATGCGGATGGGAGAATCCAATGTGGGTAGAAAACGATGCGGGTGGAAGAATCCAATGTGGGTAGAAAACGATGCGGGTGGGAGAATCCAATGTGGGTAGAAACCGATGCGAGTGGGAGAATCCAATGTGGGTAGAAAACGATGCTGGTGGAAGAATCCAATGTGGGTAGATAACGATGCGGGTGGGAGAATCCAATGTGGGTAGAAACCGATGCGAGTGTGAGAATCCAATGTGGGTAGAAAACGATGCGGGTGGAAGAATCCAATGTGGGTAGAAACCGAATGCTAGTGGGAGGATCCAATGTAGGTAGAAACCGATGCGAGTGGGAGAATCCAATGTGGGTAGAAAACCAATGCTAGTGGGAGGATCCAATGTGGGTAGAAAACGATGCGGGTGGAAGAATCCAATGTGGGTAGAAACATTATATAATAACACAACATACACCTATTAACAACTCATCACCAATCTATAATTTATTTCTCCAAATCCCCTCTTCAACAATGAACTATGGAGCTGGACCATCACACCTACCTTCTTCTTCTTCTTCTTCTGATGATGATGAAACATTTTCTCATTACGTTGAACAATTGGAGGAGGATATGAAACAATGGGAGGAGGAGGATGAAATCTTAGCTCGTCTATATGCCTCTAACAATAAAATAATGGCTTATTTCTCTAAAGAGGAAGAGAGGCCAAAACGTATCGGCTCAGTTCCTGGTCATTTGGTAATCAACCGTGGGAGGGAAGAAGGTAATTCTCGACTCTACAATGACTATTTTTCTGATAATCCCACATACGGTGCAAATTTATTCCGTAGAAGATTCCGAATGCAAAGGAGCCTTTTCCTTCGTATCGTCGACGTTGTACGAGAGCACGATAACTATTTCGTACAGAAGGTGGATGGTGTCGGTCGGCTTGGACTATCTATTTTACAAAAAGTAACAGCAACATTTCGCATGTTGGCATATGGTGCACCGGCAGATAGTACCGACGAATATGTAAGGATTGGTGAGTCAACTGTAATTGAATGTTTGAAGAAACTTTGCAGAGCAATTGTAGAAGTGTATGGAGATGAATATCTTAGATCCCCCAATACTGACGATGTTGCAAGACTGTTACAAAAAGGCGAAGAGCGGGGTTTCCCAGGAATGTTGGGAAGTCTAGACTGTATGCATTGGGAATGGAAAAACTGTCCAACAGCATGAGCGGGACAATACTCAGGACGTCACGGAGGCCCAACCATTATTTTTGAGGCAGTAGCATCGTATGACCTATGGATATGGCATGCATTCTTTGGTTTTGCCAGGTTCTAATAACGATATTAATGTATTACAAGCATCTAATTTGTTTGACAACCTAACACAAGGTATTACTCCTCCTGCTCATTATACAATCCAAGGAAAGAATTATGATGTCAGTTATTATTTAGCCGATGGCATATATCCGAAATGGCCAACCCTTGTTCAAACCATTTCCAAATCCGAAGATAAAAAGAAACAATATTTTGCAATGATGCAAGAAGCTTGTCGAAAAGATGTAGAGCGAGCGTTTGGTGTTCTCCAGTCAAGATTTGTTATAATCAATGGCCCTGCACGGTTTTGGGATAAACGAACTTTGCATGATATCATGACCACTTGCATAATAATGCACAACATGATTATTGAGGATGAACGTGATGAGCAAGAAGATATTGTCGTTTCTACTCCACCATCAATTTCAAATGTTGAAGACATAGGGATGAACGATGTGTTCCGACACTGGCCCGGCATAAGAAATTCAAAGACAAAGAAGCACACTTCGCACTTCGAAATGCATTAATTGAACATTTGTGGGAGAGACACGGCAATGAAGTGATGTAACTTTTTTTATTAAAGTTCCTCGAAATTCTAAGTTAATGTATTTTTATTTCCGTTTAATTTTCAATGTATTATCATTTCTAATTACTTCTTTTGTAATTTTATATTTCGATATTAGTCTCATTTTGAAGGTATCGACGAGACATTTCTAATGATATTATTTTCATTAAAAATATTTAATATATTAATATATATATATAGATTTTAAGTAAGTAACAAAAAAAAATAATGGGACACAATTGGAATAATCCAATGTTGTTAAAGAGATTGAGGGGTAAGATTGTCTTTTTTTTGGACTAGTAATATAGAGTTGGCTGCAAATTTGGAGAGAAATCTCCAAATTTGCAGCCTCAAATCAATTTTTGCAGCTCAACTCTAAAAATTGCCGCTCGGTTGGAATTGAGTTCGGCTGCACTTTGCAGTTTTCCAAAACGGTTGGAGCTGCTCTTAATATCCTTACCTCCACCTCCATTATTGTCACAAGCATCTCTATCATTGCTATCTCCACCTCTACCTATTATCTCATCACCTCCTCTAGCTCCGCCTCCACCGTCTCTACCTTCAACATATCAACCATAGCTAGTATTCTCGCTTCCATCTCCATCTTCCGCACCACCATCTTTTCCATCTCCATCACCTCTTTCACTGGTATTCTCACCTTCTCCATTGTGACTGTCATCATCTCCTATAATGCCACTATTTTCTCCATCAACTCTTCGAATGAACATGGACTATAGGAGGCAACAACAATGGTCAAATGCAAAGGGGAGGAAGAGGTCCAGAGAGGATATAATTGTCCATTCAAGAAAAAGTTAGAAAATAGAATATATTCATCCCTTTATAGCATTAACTAATTAGACAAACTAATATCAGCATATTAAAGTAATTTAAGGGACAAATATTAAAATATGAAGATTTTGGGGACTGCTTTAAAAATGCTTATGATTCAAGTGACTAATACTAAATAATAATAATAAAAACCCTTATAACAATGCCTTGGTAACTTTGGGTACCCTTGTAACTTTGTATCTTGAATTGGATAAATTTCACAAAACCCCAGTGAACTTCGAGGTGTTCCCAATAAAATTTCTCTAAACTTTAGAGCGTCTCAAAACCACCCCTCACACCATAATGATGCTAACGACATCACTGGTTATTATTTTGATTGTATGCTTGTTAATTCAATGTTAGGGGGTAATGTAAGAT